ACAGAATCGGAAACAGGCTCCAGGCTCCGAGCCATCAGCCCAGAGCCTGATGCGGGGCTCGAACTCACAGAGCGTGAGATCGTGACCTGGCTGAAGTCGGACGCTTAACCGACTGCGCCACCCAGGCGCCCCTAATTTATTTTTTTAATGTTTGTTTATTTTTGAGAGAGAGAGAGAGAAGAGAGAATGAGCGGGGGAGGGGCAGAGAGAGAGGGAGACACAGAATCTGAAGCAGGCTCCAGGCTCTGAGCGTTCAGCACAGAGCCCGACGTGGGGCTTGAACCCACGAGCCGTGAGATCATGATCTGAGCTGAAGTCAGACGCTTAACTGACTGAAACATCCAGGTGCCTCACATATTTTTATTTCGAAGGAAAAGAATCCCTCCCAAGCAAGCTCAAAGCAAACATAAAAGAAATGTATTTTAAGGCCACAGGTTGCATGTGTAGCCATGGCTGCAAAAAAAGTCCGAGCAAATGAAGATAGCAGTGTTCCCTTTGGGATCACCTAGCTCAGTACTGCTCAAACCAGAGCGTGCATCAGAGTCATCTGGAGGACTTGTTAAAATACAGGTTGCCGGGCTTCTTGCCCAGGGTCTCTGGTTCAGGAGGGCGGGAGTAGGGCCTAAGAATCTGCATTTCTAGCAAGCATCCAGGTGACACTGCTCGTCAAGGACCACAGGGCTTTGAGAAGCGCTGCTGTACCACATGCCTCCGTCTTAACAGACTGGGAAGCTGAATCCTGAGGTAGGACAGCTGCGGATTTTGAAGAACCCAGGGGCTGTGACAGCTGTTTCTTTCACTTCGCTCTGCTGCCCCCAAGTGGCCATTTCAGTATTGCCTGGTGCAGTTGTCTGTGATGAATATATTCCTACAACTTCAGGTGTTAAAACATGGACGGTTCTTTTTTTTTTTTTTTTTTGGTACAGAGCTCATGTTACAATAGATAATTTTATCACCTTTACTGGAAGCAGTTACTGTATCACTAAACAGGTATATTATAATAAAATAATTGTTAAGGATATCCCAGAAATGTGAAAACATGTATAAAAACAGTTTTCAGTAAAAAGCGTAGAACATTGCACTTCCATTCGTATTACAACTATGTGAAAACTACATGCTGTAGTTTACTTATAATGCATATATTTATAAAGGCGTCAGAAATCTTAGACACAAACATGCCCTATTACTTTAATTAATCATAGTTATTTTTATGAGGTAGGATTTTTAGGAGACTTTTACTTTCTTGTTACTGTTGAGAATTATTTTTATGTGGATTACATATTATCATGAAAAACACCATGGATATTTCATGAAAGAAAAACAGACGTGTATGGATGCAGGGTTCAAGGTCACAGAAAGAAAATAGATGCTATGAGAATGTGGTGGAATTATGGATAAAGTGAACAAAATTTCCTTCTGCCATGTGTTAAGTTTGATTTAATAGCAAATTAATATTTAAATGAAGCACAAAGTGAATTTGCGGCATGTTAAGGTCAAGGCCAGAGGAGGTGGTGTTCTCAGCGGGCGACTCATTGTCTGGCCAGGGCTTGACGACAGGGTGGAGGGGGTGGGAAGGTAGGGTGGTGGTGGTGTTGTGACAACCCCAGGGTGTAGGCAGAGGGAGCCACTGTCCTGCTTGTTATCGAGCCTCATTTCAGCCTGCTTCCCTTCTAGCTCAAAGCCAACCTCCTGGACATTGCCACGGAGAACCAGACCCTCAATGAGACTCTGGGCTCTTTGTCGGATGCGGTTGTGGGCTTGACCCACAGTCAGCTGGAATCCCTCTCTCCCGAGGCTGTGCATGGCGCCATCTCAACTCTCAACCAGGTCTCAGGCTGGGCCAAGAGCCAGGTCATCATCTTGTCTGCCAAATACTTGGCCCATGAGAAGGTCAGTTGGAGCTTTGAACTCTTTTTTTAATGCTCTGAGACCCAAGGGCCAGTGATACACAGGGAGGGTGGCCAATCAGTAAGAAAATAGTGCCAAGGGGGACTTGCTCTGCCATTTACTAGCTGTGGGACACTGGACGATTGGCTTAAATTCTCTTTGCCTCAGTTTCCCTGTTTGTAAGATGGGGATAACAGTAGCACCTCTGCAGCAGGATGGCTGTAAGGATTCCGAGTCAGTACACAGGAAGGGGTTGGAACATGTGACCTTGAGTATGAGCTCAGGGAGTAGTAGTAGCTACTGTTGTGCTGTTTGCAAAGCGTGGGATCCATCCCAGGATTTCCTTGCTTGTTATTGAGGCTGCGAACACATCCCTCATCTTGAGATGAGAGATAATGCTATTTTATTCATCTTGGGCTGCAGGGAGGGAATTGTCCTCAGAGGAGATTTTGCTTGGGGGGGACAGGATCCTTTAGTCACGCTCTAGATGCTCCTGGGGTAGGAAATGAGTCTTTTTCCTGGGGAAGCTGTCTCTCTGCCCTGCGCTTGGTAGAAGGAGCTCCAGAGACCTGAGCCCCTAAACATTTTGGTGTCCTGCTTTTTCTGTGTCATAGCCATGTCCCAGGATGCAACTAGTTCATGAGGATTGGATCGGGACCAATTCCAAAATGACAACAATTACAAATATTCATTAAGTACTTACTGTGTGCCAGGTTCGGGTCTAAGTGAGTTAGTTGTTTAGTGTTTCCAACAACTCTGTGAAGTCAGGAGTGTGTTATAACCTTCATTTTCCGTATCATTCATGAGAGGCACAGAATGTATAAGGGAATTGCCAAGGTCACATAAAGGGACACAGGATGTCTGGCTTCAGAGTCCACTTGCTTAACTCCCATGCTAACTACCTCCAGCATGGCACCATGACCGTTGTCCGCCCATTGTTACTTCCTGACGCAAGGCCAAGGCTAGCCCATTCTTCTTGTGCCCTCTAGCCTCATGGCATCTTTAGTTTGACATCTTTGCAGCCCTTCTCTGTTTTGACTAGGGCCACCTGAGTCTATCTGGACAGTTCTCTGTGAATGTGATTTTAGGGAGCTGAGGGAGGCTGTCTTGTTCCTCCCAACCCTGGACGAAGTGGCTTGTCTTTTTCCTAGTGCCCATCTCTTCCTACAGAGAGGTCAGGCCACTTACGAAGAAGCCAAGAGCTCGAAAGGTCTTGCTTTCCTTGAGGACAGTAGAGACTATCCATTCTACAGAGCATAACAGGGAAACCATTCAACTGGCTTTTTTGTAGACCTAAGGAATGAATGTCCCTGTTTGTATAGAAAACCATCTGGCATCTTTACTCTAAAGGAGGGAGAAAAAACAAGCATAGTGTCTGATGGGGCAGACAGCTACAATCCTATTTGTCATAAAATATCAGACCCAGATCCTGAAACATTTCTTTTTTTTTTTTTTTAATTTTTAAAATGTTTATTTATTTTTTGAGAGAGAGTAGGGGGAGGGGCAGAGAGAGAGGGAGACACAGAATCCAAAGCAGGCTCCAGGCTCTGAGCTGTCAGCACAGAGCCCAACGCGGGGCTCGAACCCACGGACCGTGAGATCATGACCTGAGCTGAAGTCAGACACTTAACCTACTGAGCTACCAGGCGCCCCCCCAAAACATTTCTTTATTTCAACTCAGAGCTTCTGCATGGAGATAGACGAACATGGGGCTTTGCTATGTCAGGTGACGTAATGAGAAAAATGGGTACAAGTGAGTGGGGCTGGGTAAACTGATAGCCCCACGACCCAACCTCAAGGGGCACCTGCTGGTCAGTTCTTGCCAATTTGTTGCCAGCATGGACCCAGTATTGCTTGGCATTCAGATTTTTTAAAAAATCAGACTCAAACCTGGATTTTAATGAAAATTTACCCAATTAAAAAAATTGTTTTGTTTATTTATTTATTTTGAGAGAGAGTAAGAGAGGAGAGAGAGGGGTGGGAAGGGGCAGAGAGAGAGAGAAAGAGAGAGAGAGAGAGAGAGAGAGAGAGAGAGAAACCTAAGTGGCTCCGCACTGTCAGTGGAGAGCCCAACTTGGGGTTCCAACTCATGAACCGAGGGATATGATCTGAGCCGAAATCAAGAGCTGAATGCTTAACCAACTGAGCCACCCAGGTGCCTCCAAATTTCCTCAGTTTAAAAAAAATTTTTTTAAATGTTTATTTGTTTTTGAAAGAGAGAGAGAGTGAGACGGAGTGTGAGCGGGGGAGGGGCTGAGAGAGAGGGGGACACAGAATCTGAAGCGGGCTCGAGACTCCGAGCTGTCAGACCCTGATGCAGGGCTTGAACTCACGAACCATGAGATCATGACCTGAGCCGAAGTCGGGTGCTTAACCCGACTGAGCCACCCAGGTGCCCCAGTTTCCTCAGTTTTTAAGTGTTGTCAGCCAGCTCAAATTAAACACACACACAAAAGCCTATTGCCTGCTCAGCTGTGGTGCACGGATCATCACTTTCTGATATTTGTGCTGTGGCCTCGGACAGCAGGGTACTTCCCCCGGCAGAGCACTTGCCTTCTGTGTTGTGTTTTGATATCACCTCTCTTTTCTGATAGAAGGAAGGAAGGAAGGTCTGGGAGGGCAGCATGTGTCTGTTCACCGTGGTGCCCCGGTACCCATCCCAGATACCCAACATGCAGAGGGGCAAGTGTCGGCCAGGTGAGAAACCAGAACAGAACCTCACGCTCCTCGCGGCCCGTCTTGCCAGGTGCTGTCTTTCTACAACGTCAGCCAGATGGGCGTGCTGCTGGCTGGGGTTGGCACCCAGGCCTTCTACAGCATGGATCGCAGGGACCTCTTGCAGGTCCTGAGAAGCACGATCTCCCTGCATGTGTCCGACTTGTCACCTGCCCAGCAGCAAGGCGTCCTCAGCAAGGTGAGAGAAAGACATCTCGTCCTCAGCCGTGTGGCTCACAGAGTATGTGGTTTTGGGGTGTTGTGCGTGGGCTATGACTTTGGGCTGTCGACTCAGGGCTGCGGTTAGCTCAGCCTTTGGCGAGGGAGCATTCTGAACCTAGATGATGCCTTCTCCTGGTGCCCACCTTTCCTCCTTTCCAGAAGGAGCTCCTTGGGTCACACTATATTTCTTCCCAGACCCTGGTGCTTTCCTTCACCAGTTGACTCTGGAAGACTTTAGTTAAATTAGGTTTCTTGATATAATAATTTTTGAAAGTTTTTCAAATCTAAAAACGAATCCTGAAGGTCCCAGAGTGCTTCTGAAAGCCCCTTCCATGATCCAAAGTCACACCTATATTCTCACTTGGCAGTGGGTCTTTGGGTATCCTGTTCTATCAGACCTGCGATGTCCAGTTACAAAATCTGTTAGGAGACCAAACTTAAGGAGTTTGGCTTAAAATATCAACACCTTGCCGAGAGCAATAGCACGTTTGGTTAAAATTGTATGCGTTCCTGAATAAGACAGACTTGTGCTTGAATCTTTGAATCTTACTTATCAACTTCCAACCAATTATTTATGAAGCCTCAGTTTTCTTACCTGCAAAATGGGGTAAGGGAAGTCCCCCACCTCACAGGGTTGCTGAGCAGATAATGCTGGATCTTATGGCCTGTGAATCACTGACACAGTCCCTGGGCCTTGTGCAAAGTTCAGTGCACCTTCTACAAGGTTGTCATTATGTTTATTCTCACTCTTGGCAGATGATTGAAGCAGGAGACACTGTCTCAGGCATTGTGGAAATACAGGGGGCTTTCTTTAAAGAAGTATCTCTCTTCAATTTACGGAGGGAACCCGGATTTAACACAACAGTCCTAAAGGAAAAGGAGCTTCGGAGGAGTCAGGTATGACCACTAAGGATTCTGACACCAATTTGGATGTGTGTGTATGTGTGTGTGTTGGGGGTTGGAGGCTCCCACACCAACAAGGAATTCTCCAACATAGCGGAGAATCGTGGGTGTTCCACAGTTCAGCTCCATTCTGACACTGTATACTGGCGATAGCATCAGATCCCACAGGGTAAGGGTTCAGTCCTGCAATACTATACCCCCTGCCCCTCAACTGCAAGTGCCAGTCACCAGTCTTGGCTGTCCCCTGTGCTTCTGACCTCCCAGTTTTAGATTGAAGGTTCCAATGATCCTGCTGCCCCCACCTTGGTTTGATTAATTTGGTAGAGTGGCTCACAGAATTCAAACATGTTACTTACTAGCTCATCGGCTTATTGTAAAAGGATATAACCCAGGAACAGCCAGATTGAAGAGATGCATCGGACAAGGTATATGGGGGAAAGGGTACAGGGCTTCCACGCCCTCTCCAGATGCGCCACCCTCCCAACACCTACACATGGTCACCAACTGAAAGCTCTCTGAACCTGGTGCTTTTGGATTTTTATGGAGGCATTATTATGTAAGCATGGTTGATTAAAACATTGGCCATTGATGATTGGTTCAACATCTAGCCCTTCTCCCCTCCCTGCAGGTTGGGGGTGGGACTGAAAGTTCTAACCCTCCGATCCGATCCCCGTGTTTGGTTCTTTCTGCAACATCCCTCCTTCCTCAGGTGTTTTCCTGAAGTCATCATTCACATAACAAAAGACACCTTGATGGCTCTCCTCACTTTGGAAATTCCTCGGGTTTTAAGCTAAATGCAGTAGCGGTGACTGAGTGGCTCAGTTGTTTAAGCATCCAGCTTTGGCTCAGGTCATGATTTCATGGTTCATGGGTTTGAGCCCTGCATTGTTGGTCTCTGTGCTGACAGCTCAGCCTGCTTCAGATTCTTTATCTCCCTCTCTCTGCCCCTCCTCTGCTCGCAATGGGAGCATTTCTCAAAAATAAAAATAAAACATTAAAAAAAATTAAAAACCAAAACAAAACTAAATACAGTAGAACCTTGGGTTGTGAGTAACTTGTTCTATGAGGGTCCTGCAAGATGAGCAAACATTTCTAATAAATTTTAACTTGGTAAAAGAGTAATGTCTTATAATACAAGTAGCACGTGATGCTGAATGTCACATGATCACAACTGAGCCAGTGGTTCTTGAAATTCGCTTAGATATACAAGTGCTTTGGATTACAACCATGTTTCTGGAACAAATTATGCTCGCAAACTAAGACTTTACTGTATATATTTTTTATTAGTAATAAGATGCCCAGATCACTCCTGAATTTTTGAGTCTGCGTTGTAGGAAAGTTCTGTTTAAGGTTAATTTGGTAAAAGAAATTTATTTCCGTGTAATTAAACTCAGGAGGCAAAACAGTGTAGTGTTAAGAAATTGGACAAGACCTGAGTGTGTATTTGGGTGTGGCTATCAGTTAATTTTGGGGTGCTTCTTCTCACTCGGCCTCAGTTTTCTCATGTGCGAAATGGGGATGATTTCATGAGAATCAGTGATGCAAGATGTATCTTTATACCACCGGGCACATGGCAGTGCGCTCTAACTATTAGCGGTTATCACACGTATTATTAAGGGCTGCTGGTGCTGAGGCTGCTTGGGGAGGACTGCGCTTTGGAGGCTGAAGCCTCTTCGAGCTCTCTGGACTTTCATTCAATCAACTCTGCATTTTATCCACTCATCGAAAGTTGATGCCAGGAGCTGTTCACGTTGCTGGGGATGCAGCCGTGAACAAAGTAGACAAAACGGCGTGCCGTCCCAGAATTTCCATCTTGTGAAGGAGGGAGACAGACGAGATACAAGATTAGTGGGTAAAACCCAAACTGTGCTAGATGATGATGCATGCTAAGGAGAACCTAAATCAAAATGGGAAAGGGTAGACAGTGGGCTCTTTTTGACGGGGGTAGCTGGAGACGACCTCCCTGTGCTCAGAGAGGTTATGGGAGGGGCTGATCTTCAGGACCCCTAGGGACACCGTGAGGACTGCCTTCTACTGTGGGTGACATGAGGAGCTGTTGGGAGGGTTTGAGAAGGGTTGTTCTCTGACTTTCGTTTGCATCGAATCCCACAGCTGCTGCACGGGGACTGAATTGAGAGCAAGAGTGGAAGCAAGGGGACCAGTCAGGAGGCTATGGTGTATTCCAGATAAGACACGTGGCTTGGACTAGGTGGTGGCAACGCGGGTGGTAACCAGTGGTCGCATTCTGGACGCATTCTCAAAGGGCTGGGGGCGTCTCTCTCCACCTGTGTATGTTCCTCCATGTCGTGGGCTGAACGGTGCCCCC